TGTGTGTGTGTGTGTGTGTGTGTGTGTGTGTGTGTGTGTGTGTGTGTGTGTGTGTGTGTGTGTGTGTGTAGACACTTGCACCCAACTCCTCAAAACAAAGTGAGTGTAAACTTATTTTAAACAAAATAAGTTTAAAAATCAAACAGCGGGCTGGGCATGGTGGCACACTTCTGTAATTCCAGCACTTGGGAGACAGAGACAGGTGGATTTCTGTGAGTTCCAGGACAGCCAAGGCTACACAGAAATATTTTGAAATACAAAAACAAAACAAAACAAAACAACAGCAAAATACTAAAAACTCCAGGGACTTAAACAGGCATTCTTTCCAGATATATAAGTGGCCAATAAGCACTGAAAATGTAAACACTGAAGAGGAGGACACCCAGTATTAATAGTCACAGAAGCACAAAACACTGCTTCACACCTGCCTGGTGGTCTGTAATCAAAACCACCATCCCTGGCAAGAACAAAGAGAATCAATAGCCAGCACGCTGCCAGTGGCAACTTAAAAGATGGCACAGCCACTGTGAAAACACCTGGTGGCTTCTCAGAAAGTGAACACAGGACCATCACAGGACCTAGCAACTGCACATCTGGACACACAACTGAACAGAGAGCAGGGTCTCGACTGTGTACTTGTCCACTGTTGTCATAGCAGCGCTGTTCACAGCGGCCAAAATACACAACTCCCACAGTGGGATGGAGAGCTCAGTGGGTAAAGGTGCTGGTCATGCAAGCCTGAAATCAAACCTCGGTCCCCAGAGCCCAGAATGTGGGGACACACATCTGGCATCCTAGCATTCTCAAGAAGAAAGGTTGTAGTGGGTAGCCATCCCAGCTTTGGTCTGGAAGTTCCAACCCTCATTGAGGCTTTGGTAACTATCACGTCTACAAGGCGGGGCCAAGAGAGGGAGATCCCGAGGTGCCGCCCTCTCTATTCCTGGACCCTGGATGGTGGAGGTTGACCGAGCAGAGTTCTCCAGAGAACACCGCTGGACTGTGACACACCTTCCCCAGACCCTGCGACCTACCTATCCCTTTATTTGTAAGTTACGCCACTAATAAACCTCCCTTTTAACTACGTTGAGTGGCCTTAATAATTTCACCAATAAAAGGTGGCGAGGTGAGGTCACTTAAAAGCTTGCAGGCCAGCTAGTTTGATATATGCAGTAACACAACAGAAAAATAGGGGACCCTACCTCAACAAGGTGGATAAAAACATGGGATGCAAATACTTAATGGAATCATCTTAGCTATGCAAAGAAAACTAAGGTTATTTTTCTCCCTGTATGTGCATATGAAATGTTCAAGCTGATTATCCTCTGCCTTCCAAATTGCCATGGGAGTGCTGGGGTCACAGGCAGACGCACATGAGCAGAGCCACCTTCAGGCTGGTGTGGCAGGGCCTTTATATGGTGATATTTTATTTGTACTAAAATGTGATTTTTATATTAATAAATAAAGTTGCCCGGGGGTCAGAGCTATTAGAGCCATAGCAAAAGCTGGGCGGTGGTGGTGCACGCCTTTAATCCCAGCACTTGGCAGGCAGAGCTAGTAGATCCCTGTGTGTTCAAGGATACAGCCAGCATTGGAGACACACGCCTTTAATCTCAATACCAACCATAGAAGACCTGGAGGTCTGTACAGACAGGCAGTGACAAGGCGGTCATATCTCTTGGCTGAAGAGGACAGCTGCAGTTGTGACCTCTTGGGCTTTCATCTCTGCATTGGCTCTGTGTTTCTTATTTAATAATAAGACGGTTATTTCTACACCTTTACCCATCAAGCTTTGGTCTGAGATTAAGTTGACCCATTCTATAACCTAGATTCTAATCAAACCAGATGCAGTACTGAGTGACTGGCTTACAAGATTAACTAGGAAAAAAGAAAGACTAACTAGGGACATTCCCAGGGACAGAACTAGACCAGACAGTAACTAAGAGCTGGTCGTGGAGTTGATCTGTAAAGAGAAGCACTTCACTAGGTGATAATAAAAAATCTGAGCCGGGCGGTGGTGGTGCACGACTTTAATCCTAGCACTCGGGAGGCAGAGGCAGGCGGATCTCTGTGAGTTCCAGGCCAGCCTGGGCTACAGAGTGAGTTCCAGGAAAAGCACAAAGCTACAAAGAGAAACCCTGTCTCAAAAAATAAAAACAAACAAACAAACAAAAACCCAAAATGACATACATGCAGGCAAAACACCAATGCACAAAAAATAAAAATAAATCATTAACAAAATTTACATAAAATAGTTCATTTCCTAAAATAAAAACACACTCAATCAAGTTTGTTGTGGAAGCTAGAGGCAGATCTTTGCCTATTTGACATCTGATCCAGAACTCTGTGGCTACGATCACTTGACAGCTGTAACACATACCCAGCAGTGGTTCTGTAATGTTAAGTAAGGCAATGCAGCCAGGAGGGGTGAACTCCGTCTGCCCCAGGTCACATTCCAGATAGTCAACTCCAGGAAGGCTGGAAATTATTAAAGAGAAAGGTCAATCTCAGGCAGCTGTCCTCTGTAGCTGTGACTCTGTGTGACATGTGGGCATCGTCACCCTGTGTAGCCTTGTAGCTGTCACAATCCAAAAGCAAGGCCCCATCCCATCACAACAGGCAAGGTTACCACCAAAACGTAACAGCCCAGTCCTGGGTTTGGGGATGACACCGGACCAGTATAGATCCCAAGACCAAGCACCCCCTCTTGGGGGTCACAGGTCAGAGTCAGTGAAGAGTGCCACTGCCCAGCTGACAGCACACAGCACTCAACACAATCCCACTGCTAGTCTCTCCATCAAGCTGGGCATGTTGGCTTATATCTGTAATCACAGCACTGGGGAGGCTGAGGCAGGAGAATCACCAGGAGTCCAAGGCCAGACTAGTCTAGAGAGTGACACCATGCCTCAGGAGATCCAACAAAAACCCAGTTTCTCCCCTGGCATCTCACTTCATGCCCAGATGTGACCAGATGAAAACACAAGCATGCTTACCTATTCAATAACTGGTTAATCAGTATTCTACTGAACGTTGACTTTCCAGTGTCACAAGCGCCACACAACAGGATGACAGGGCAGCCATCTACTTTTGCAGGTAAAACAAATAGTGAGCCCCAGTGTCAGCCAGTCCTCAGGACTGAAGATACACAGTGCCTGAGGCTCTGGAGAATATGGAACTGAGAAAAGGTGATGCTCACCACAGGACGCGATGACTAGCTCTTCTAGGGCACAAAGGCCGCTCTCATTCAGGCAGATGCCTTTCTTCTTCCTCTGTCTTCTGATACCAATTGTTTTCAAAGTTATATACTCAGAATTTATCCGCACAGGAGTATTCTGAAATGTAACAATTTAAACTCTAAGGAAAGTTTTCTTAAAGATATATATTTGCAGCGGGGCAGTGGTGGCACACTTTCATCCCAGCACCTGGGAGGCAGAGGCAGGTAGGTCTCTATGAGTTCAAGGCCAGCCTGGTCTACAGAACTAATTTCAGGACAGCAAGGACTACACAAAGAAACCTCGTCTCAAACCCCCCCCCCCCCCCCCACACACACGCACTTGTTTATAAAATAATAAGCAACGTGTAGTTGTGAGCTGTAAAACAAAACAAGACAAAAATTGGTTCATTTCTCTCAGTACCCCAGAACTCAGCCCATCAGCAAGTCCTGTCTATTCTTTCTGAAGTACATGTCTGTTTTCACAGTGTACACCCACTCTCAGGCTGCCACACATCTGGAGAAAGAAAGGCATTAATTAAAATGTAGGGAGAGGTTGGTGATCTGAAGTCAAGGCCATCTCTAAACACAAAACAAAACCCAGGACTGGGGTTGGGGATTTAGCTCAGTAGTAAAGCGCTTGCCTAGTAAGCACAAGGCCCTGGTTTGGTCCTCAGCTCCAAGGGGAGGGGGGTGACACGGGAGGGGGTGGGTGGGTGGGTGGGAGAGCAGGGACGGGACGACCCAGGACAGATGCAAATGGAACTGAAGAGTGAAAAGGACAGCTATGCTCATCTGTCACTGGGGTCCTAAAAGAAGCACTAAGAAGCTACAAAGGGATGTGCTAGCTGCCGTGGGGAGGATGATAAGGGTCACCATACAAAAGAGGATGGAAGGAGGAACCACCACAAACACATCCTCATCCACCAGCAATCACAGAGGGCATTCCCGCCTCTGTAGAGGGTTAAAATGTAATCCCAGAGTTGAAGAGACGGCTCTGTGGTTTAGAGCAATTACTGCTCTTGCAGAAGACCCGAGTTTGGTCCCAAGTCAGACAGCTCACAATCACAATCATTCTAGCTCCAGGAAATTTGACGCCATCTCCCAGCTCCTAAAAATATGTGGTATACACAGACATACAAATGACAATAAAAAACTCTTTAGAATGCAGTCACATGAAGGGCTAGGGATGTGGCTTAGTGAATAAAACTCCAGTTTTTAGGACCAGAGTTTAAATCCCCAGTACCCATGTAAAAACTAGGAAGGTATGAGGGCTGCCTGAAATTCCAGTACTTGGGAGGCAGAGACAAGAGGAACCCTGGGAAAAGCTGGTTAGCTAGACTAGCTGCAACTGGTGGGCCCCAGGTTCAGCAAAAGACCATGGACAATGTGAGTAAGTAGAGATGGATTGAGACGACACTCCATATCAAGTTCTGACCTCCACATACACATTAGACACCCCTCCACACACACAAATAAATAAAAATGTAATCACATTGGCATACGGCTTTATTCCCAGTACAGAGGCAGAGGCAGTTGGATTTCTGAGTTTGAGGCTAGCCTGATCTATAGAGCAAGTTGCAAGACAGTCAGGACTGTTACATAGAGAAACACTGTCTCAAAAAAATAAAATAAAATAAAATAAAAAAAACAAAATAACAAACAATCAATAAAATAAACAAAGTAACTACATGAGACACCACAGTAGCATTTGTCGGTAATCCCAGGACACCAGAAGCAAGAGGAATACAAGACTGAGGCCTGTCTGGGCTATACAGTAACACTGTGCCTCAAAAAAAAAAAAAAAAAAAAAAAAAAAAAAAAAAAATGGGGATAGGGTCTGGAGAAATGGCCCAGAGATGGGATCTTTTGGAAGGCTGATGTTCTGTTCCTAGCGCCCACGTGGCTCACAACCTCCTCTAACTTCAGGTCCCGGACTGTAAACTCACACCTCTGGTCTCCACAGAAACTTGGCACCATGTGCATAGACTCACACAATTAAATACTGAAATAATAACACAAAAGCACATCCATGCCCCAACCACCTTCACGGCATCTCCCTTCTCACAGCAGCTCCACAGCAGGGTGTCTTGGTTCCCTCTCCCAGCGTAACTATGAGAAGAATTCTTTGCTGGCTCCTGTCTTCCGGCAATTATGCAAATGAACTGCCAGGCTAAGTGGAGTTTGTTTTGCGACAGGGTCCCTCTGTAGTCTAAGCTGTCCAACATAGACAGAGATCGAGGCCAGCCTGGTTCACAAAGCAAATTCCAGAACAGCCAAGGATGTTACACAGAGAAACCTTACCTTTAAAAAACAAACAAACAAAACAGACCGACTTGGAACGGTACACACTGTGATGGTGGTATGAACAGGGAAGGTGTGGCTCAGTGGCCCACGCGTGTCTGTGTCGAGTTGACAGGGGCCAGCTGTGCTAGTTACAGAAACCCTGTCTCAAAAACCTAAAAAGAGCCCTTGCCGTTCTTGCAAAGGGTTGGGGTTTGATTCTCAGCACCCACAGGGAGGCACCAGGCACACACTCGGTACACAAGCACACATGCAGGCAATCAATTACACACACAAAACTTAAAAAAATTTAAACAAAACAAAACAAATGCCTGTAAAGGGCTGGGGAAACAGCTTAGCCAGTCAACTCAAGGCCTTGGACACAGACTCAGGCGTGGAGCTGTGTGTGTGTGTGTGTGTGTGTGTGTGTGTGTGTGTGTGTGTGTGTGTGTGTGTGTGTGAGACCCATCACCTGGAATGTGCACACGGAGGCTGTGACAGCCATCCAGCCTCCTTGGCAAGCTTCAGGCCAACCAGAGACTGTCTCAAAGGACAGACAGCTCCCAAGTAGCAAAGCTCAAAGTGTCCTCTGGCTTCTGCATGCACCTGCACATGCATGCATACCAGCACATACACAGAGAATCGCTTGGTCCTCCCAAGGTCACACAGCCTTAAACAAACACACTCACCATCAAGGGTCGGTAAAGCTGAGCTTCCCCTCGACAGGATTGTCACTCCAGCCCTCCTCCTTCATTCCCACCCACTGTGTTAAAGCAGTCTCACAATTCCCCCTAACAACAACAATAAACTCTTCACTACAGCTCCCTGTAACTAACTTTCCTTTTCTTCCTTTCTTCCTTTCTTCCTTCCTTCCTTCCCACTTAATCCTGCAGTTTCTTTCTTCCCACCTCCTGACTCAACATGAGGCTGTTCCTCAGCAGAGCACTGAAACCAGTCTGGTCTAGATCCTCGTCCTGCACCCGTGTCTTTCTCAGACCACCTTAATTAGACCGGCAATGCCTCCAACCCTGGTCATTCCTCGGCACCTCTGTGAATCCGGTCTTAACCCCTTCCGGAGTGACATGGCCCAGACCTCAGGCCCCCTCCCCTCTCAGCTCATCAGCGAGCTCATGCTCTCTCTTTCTCTACCTAATTTTTGTTCTCAGATACCCTCTGTTGCAGGCTCCCAAATTAACAGCCCTACCATTTTCTCCAAACTGCAGACTCACAGACTACTGCCTACCTGACATCTCCAACTGTATGTCCTTTTTCTTTTTCTTTTGGCGCTAGGGTGCCATGTAGCTCAGGGTGGCCTCCACATCACTATCTAGCTGGAGATGAATTTGAACTCCTTATCTTCCTGACTACACCTCCCGAGTGCTGGGATTACAGGCTCGTCCTACCACAGCTGACAAAGAGGTGGCTTCTGCTGGACAATGAAACTGAGGAAGAAGAGGGAAAATGCTCATGACAACCTTTCTGTAGGTGCCCGTGTGAACGCACGCCACACCACGTAAGTGGGGGCCAGAGGACAAAACCCGGGAGTGTTCTCTCCTTCTACCGGGAATACCTGGGATGGAACCCTAACCATCAAGCTTGTTCAGCAGGTGCCTTTACCCACGACACACACACCTTTTTTTTTTTTTTTTTTTTGGTTTTTCGAGACAGGGTTTCTCTGTGTAGCTTTGCGCCTTTCCTGGAGCTCACTTGGTAGCCCAGGCTGGCCTCGAACTCACAGAGATCCGCCTGCCTCTGCCTCCCGAGTGCTGGGATTAAAGGCGTGCGCCACCAACGCCCGACACACACACCTTTCTATAGAGACTCTCCTAACTGATAAAACCCCGAGGTGGTACCCCATAACGCCCTTCTATAGAAACTCTCCTAACCGACGAAACCCCGAGGTGGTACCCCATAACGCCCTTCTATAGAAACTCTCCTAACCGACGAAACCCCGAGGTGGTACCCCATAACACCTTTCTATAGAGACTCTCCTAACTGATAAAACCCCGAGGTGGTACCCTATAACACCTTTCTATAGAGACTCTCCAAACTGATAAAACCCGAGGTGGTACTCCGTAACACCCTTCTATAGAGACTCTCCTGACGAAACCCGAGGTGGTACCCTATAACACCTTTCTATAGAGACGATCTCCTAACTGATAAAACACTGAGGTGATACCCCGTAACACCTACCCTACTCCCAAGACAGAGAGGACGATCATTCTGAAAGGGCTCCCTACATAGTCATTCAGCTGACTGCACTGGTGCAAAGGATCGGCGCACCTAAGTGAGTGCTGGCTTTACCTCCTGCAGGAAGACATAAGATGCGCACTTATAGGAGCTCATGAAGTCCACAGCGGGGGTCCTCAGCTGCTCCAGCAGCAGAATGGAGCCCAGGGGAGGGAAATACTGGACTACCCAGTTTCTGTCGTCTGCAAAGAGAAGAAAAACCACCTCAGAAAAAGTAACAATTTAGATCCCGAGGGTTGTCATCTCAACTACAGACTTGTGGAGAGGAGCACACAGCAGAGCTCATTTTTCCACGTCTGGGTGGAGACACCACAACCCAAGACTGCCGCCTACTAGCTTCGTGGTCGCAGAAAACGTCTGTTGTGAAACGGTGGAAATAATGGCATTTTAATACTCAGGACCTCTGTGAGGATTCCACAGAGTACGGAGACCAGAACGTAACCAGCACCTGAAACGCCCCGCCCTGAGCAGGAGGCTGAAGCCAATTACCCAGCTTCATGTGAGGCCTGAGCAGGGCCCGCAGCTCCCTTCTCATCTCCTTCTCACTCTTCTCAGGCTCTGAGTAGCGAACCCCGCCGATGGTCAGGTAAGAGTGGGTATAGGCAGAGAAGACATCTCGGGCAGGCTGGCCCTGTTTGACGATATGGCCGTATATTTCCACCTGGCCATAGATGCAAGTCACCCGGCAGATCCCACTAAAAGTAAAGCCCTGGCAGGGAGCGAGAAAAACAGAACAAAACATTATGGATACTGTTACCAGAGACAGAAAAACTGGAAAATCTTAACTTGCTATTCACTTATCAAAATGATTTTTTTTTCTTGAGACAGGGCCTCATGATGGAGCCAAGACTGTCCTAGAACTGACTAGGTAGACCAGGCTGATCTTCTCATGGAGAGCCAACCACCCCCACATTCAGAGTGACTGGTGAGAAAAATCCATGTGTATGTATCAAACTACAGAGCTCTGGGGCTGCAAAGGTGGCTTAATTGAATGAACTGTGGACGGGTGGCTGTGGAGCCCCCAAGGGACTGGACTGGGCCCTATGGATACAGAAGACGGCTGTTTGCCTCGAACTGTTTGGGGGGCACCCAGGCAGGGGGATCGGGACCCGTCTCTGGCGCATGGGCAGGCTTTTGGGAATCCGGTGCCTGTGGTGTGATGCCTTGCACAGCCTTGGTGCCGTGGGAAGGGGCTTGGACCTGCCTAGGCTCAGTGTGCAGGGCTCAGCTGACTCCCCATGGGAGACCTCGATTTGGGGGGATGTGGGGAGGCTTGGGAGAGAGGGCTGGGGGGTGGGAGGAGTTAGGAGGGGGATCTGTGGGTGGTATGTGGAGTGAGTAGAAAATTTAATAAAGAAAAATGAAAAAAAAAAAAAAAGCACTGGCGGCTTTACCAGAGAACCCATGTTTGGTCCCCAACACCCATATAGTGGCTCACAACCTCCTTTAACTCGGTTCAGAGGGTCCGGCGCCCTCTTATGGCCTCTGCAGGCACTGCACACACATGGCGTACGGAAATGCAGGCAAAACACTGCAGGCAAGACACATAAAAAAGCCAAACAAAGCTACACTGTACTAAGTGACCAACTGTCAGGCTTTTAACTTAACCCTAAACATCATAACCCCATTGCAGCTCCCAACATACTCACTAACTCTACCACCCCGTGCTTACAAAGGCGCACAGACAGCATGCTCCTCTCCGATTTCTGAGGCTTCACTCCTTCCCGGCATAAGAGGGGCGATCTCCCTAACCAGGGTCCACGTCAGACCGCCTGGGCTTAACTCTTGGATCTGCCTTGCTACTAGACTAACTTCGTGCAAGTTACCTACCTTGTTTTTCAGTCCATAAACACAAGAAAGAGATGGCAACCGTCGCTCCCGTGAGACCTGGGAGTGCTAAATAGTTTGAAACACCTCGAACTCTGCAGCTACGTGCACAATAAGTCCGACCCATTAATTTGCTAGTATAGCACAGCCAACAGGAGGATGGACTAGCATACGATCTGCATCCGGAGGACAAGGGGCGGGGACCAGAAGCTCCCCGCGGGCGACTCACCTCCCCGGCTGGCAGCAGCAACAACACACGGCCCGAGCCTAAGTCCCGCGTGGGTTGGGTGACGTTCGATGACAGGGTTTGGACATGGCGCGCGGGCTGGTTGCGGGGCGCGGGCTGACTGCGGGGCGCGGGCTGGTTGCGGGGCGCGGGCTGGCTGCGGGGCGCGGGCCGGCTGCGGGTCCGGACCTTGCACTTTCCGGCCACGTGCGAGCCCGCGGTGACACCCACCTTCCAGTCCCCGCCCAAGGCGTGGGCCCGCAGCAGCCGCCGTCGCAGGCGCCGCAGCTCGCCCCGGGTCAGGACCCCAAACCGGCGACGGCCCCGACGACTGAGGAGGAGGTGGGGCCGGGCCTTGCGAACCCGCTGCCAAGAAGAGCGGCTCGGAACCCGCCTGAGCAGCACCTCTGAGTCCGCCATGCTTGGCCCGGAACGCCTCCGACGTGCCAATCTCGCGAGATTACGTCGCCCCGCCCCCAGAGTAAGACGTGAAGCGCTGCTGACGCCCTCTCCCGGCCGGCCTCTGCAGCACATTAAGAACTTCAGCCCACCCGGTCTAGGCTCAGGCTGCTAGAGAAGCTTTGCAATCCCACCCAGGGCCCCATTTACATTATGCAAAACCCTACCCTCGCCCTCCTCGTGAAGAGGGGGAGCCAAAGCCCTTGTATTTAACCACAAGGCCACCTCTCAGGAAATCCACCTGGGATTTCTTTTTCTTCCTGCAGAAAAAAAAAAAATCCAGGATTGGCATTTAAAACAAATTCGGAGCATTTGTATAGACTAGGTTTGCATACATTTGACTTCTGGCTGATGGGAGCAATCCTGGATAACAAGATTAAACACTTTGAATGTCTGAATACTAGGGCCGGCAGGTGTCAACTCAAAGCCTAGTCTCAGGCTTACTTAATGGGGTTTACTAAGTTCTGGAAGTCTCTGGAGGCACTGGTAGAACCAGCAGTATTGTAAGTTCCTCCTGTGACATCGGTAGGGGATGGCTTCAGCCCAGGACTTCAAAGCCAGCTGGACAGCAGAACAAGAGACCACCTCAAAAACAAACAAACAAACAAATAAACAAAAAACAAGAAAGCCATCAGCTCCCTCATAGTACGCCTGGTCTTCAGTGTTCGGGTCTTCCCTCTCCTCCCTGAAAAATGTCAGGGCTCCCTTCCCCAGCCCGGTGAAGCCGAGAACACCAGGGCAAGGGCAGAAACCACAACCGTCCAGGGGAGGGGTCTCAGGGGGCCACCTGGTTTGCATCCATGCCCTGGCCCTGCCCAGTTCCTGAGAGAGACCACAGCCGGAAAGCCAACCGCCTTTCTACAGCGGGACTCCAGTCCCACCCCTCCCAGGGCCCTGAAGTTAGGGAGCATCTGAGCATTGTCACTCACTGTATTTAAGCAGCCAGCCTTGTCAGAAGTGTGCTCAGCCATGCTGGGCAAAGTGGCATCTGGCCAGCATGTTTTCCTGGGCAGCTTCCCTGGTCAGCCTGCAGCTCCCCATTGTTTATTGCTGGGCCTTCAGCTGCTACAAGACAGAGTCCTCTCCTGGCTTCAGCCTCCCAGGGGATTACCTCCTTGCAGGCCTGTTCGCTCTCCATGCGGACTGTCTGCAGGTGAGACACAGACCCCAGGTGACACGCTGTGACAGGTAAGAGCCAGCAGGGTTGTCACTTAGTGGGTTGGGGATACAGTTTGATCAGTTTGGAGCTTGCCTAGAGTGCATGAGGCCCTGCGTTTAATCTCCAGCACCACACCAGCTAGATTTGGTGGCTGGTGCATGTATTACCTATAATCCCTGTACTGGGGAGGTGGAGGTCAAAGGATCAGAAGTTCAAGGTCATCCTCAGCTACATAGTGAGTTCGAGGCCAGCCTAGGCTAGAAACCCTGTCAGAGAGAGAGGTGGGGGGAAGGGAGAGATCGAGAAAGGGGGGGGGAGAGAGAGAGAGAGAGAGAGAGAGAGAGAGAGAGAGAGAGAGAGACTGACTCTCACTCAGAGGGACACAAGGGCTCCTCTGCTTACCTCTGTCCCTAGTCCTCCCTCACTAATCTGTAAGGACTAAATTCAAGCTGGTAGCTAACAAGTCCATCAGTTTCTACTTTAGGATGCTACTATTTATTTATATTGCAATGTTTAATTTTGTTCTGTGTATTATTATTTATACTGCAATATGTTCTTTTGCTTTTGCTATTAGAGTGGGTTGTAACTCCATTCAAGTTTCCTGGCTTTTCTGCAGCTGGCAAGTGAGGTTCCCCATGGGTTTCCTTTAAAGATGGCTGCTCACAGTTTATACTCAAGTACTGTGTTGGGAGGGAGGTCCAGAGTGCTCTCACAACAGGCTGTGAGATATTCTGCACATGAGGACTACCTGACTGTTGGCCAGGAAGTAAGGTTCTGGAAGCCCTGGCCTGTGAGGACTAGGCCAAAGAGCTGCAAATAGGAGCTGGGGAGAGGAAAGTTGAGCTTGGAAGACAGGTTTTGAGAAAGACACAAGAAAGCTGGCTTCATGGGCTGGAGAGATGGCTCAGAGGTTAAGAGCACCAACTGCTCTTCCAGAGGTCCTGAGTTTAATTCCCAGCACCCACATGGTGGCTCAGAGCCATCTGTAATGAGATCTGGTGCCCTCTTCTGTGTACATAATAAATAAATAAATCTTTAAAAAGAAAGAAAAGAAAACTGGCTTCGTCAAACTGAAGGACTCTGTGTTCGAGAGGTACTGAACCTCTCAGTACACTGGGGACAGGAGCGATGGAAGGAATGGGGGAATCTTCTAGAAGGCAGAAAGCTAGAGAGTGGGACATGCAGCAGGGCTGACCTCAGTGTCATGTCCCTGTTGAGAGGAGCTGCCAAAGCAGAGAACTCTCAGCTGAGCTTGAGCCCTGGGAGGCAGGTGTAATGTAATAGTCCATTCAGTTTGTCCAAGGGACAGTGCCTAGAGTTGTTGGCTCAAACATCAGTCTAGATGTTACTGTAAAAGTATGTTTTTGATGTGATTAACATTTAAATCAATAGACTGAATAAAACAGGTTGTCCATCAACAGTAAGTGGGCCTCATACAATCCACTTAAGGCCCCAGAGAGAAGACTGAGGTCCTGGAGAGCAAAGAGACCCTGCCCTCAGATTCAGGACTACAGTCCCCATCTGCCCTCAGATTCAGCTGTCTAGTCTACTGGCTAGCTCTATTAGTTTTGAACTGAGTAACTCCCACAGTCATGTGAGCCAGTTCCTTAATGTGAATCTCCCTGTGTGCCTGCTTGTGTGTGCTTGAGTGTGTACTTGAGTGGATGTGTGTACATATGTGTTAACCCTGTTTCTCTAGGGCAGGGCTTCTTAATTTTTTGCATTTATGCCATTTTTTAACCTGGAAAATGTTTTTAAAGATTTATCTTTTTTTTTTTTCCCCCCGAGACAAGGTTTCTCTGTGTTGCTTTGCGCCTTTCCTGAAACTCACTTTGGAGACCAGGCTGGCCTCGAACTCACAGAGATCCTCCTGCCTCTGCCTCCCGAGTGCTGGGATTAAAGGCGTGCGCCACCACACCCGGCTTTTTTTTTTTTTTTTTTTTTTTTAAGGAAATACCTCAATAGTGTTGAATGAGTGGTTAAGGTAAGATTTCTACTGCCAGAGGAAGCATGCCTCA